AGTGCTTACTACTGCTTTTTTAAATATTTTTCTTGTCGCAGTTGTTACTACAATCAGATCTAACATCTTCCTCTTTGTCATCACATTTGATATGCTGACTGTTTTCTTGGAGAGACTTCTTTGTTAGATTAACAATAAAAAAAAAAAACTCACATTCCAGTTTAACAAAGGATGGAGAGTGACGACCACCAATGTGAGTGTCACCCCATCTCATCCATATCTGCCTGGCTGCTTGCTTAATCCTCATAATCCTTCTCACAAGTGCTTTTCACTCAAACTCTACTATGAACATACACAGTTCTCTTAAAAGTGTTAACACGTGATGAACATCGGTCAGCACAAGTTGCCCATGTTTGAGCTCAACCATCTGAGCTCTTTGTTTTGTGCCATGAAGCAACAGATTTACACTGTGATTTAACCGCAATGTGATATGCAGAGCTGAGGCTGATAGTCTGCTCAGTGACCATCTCATTTGTTTGCACTAGTTATACATATAGCATGTTTCATAATGAATGTGGTAATGATTTATTGATGTATAAAAAGGCTGCAAGTAGCATATTGAAAATACTATATATAATTGATTGTTAATGTTTGTGCATGCCTTACAGTAAAGACTGGGAATTTCCTTCCAATCAAACTTAAATTTGTAGTCAGTGTCTGTGTAAAATTTGAATGAATGCAGATGTGAAAGTGGGTCATTGCAACGAATGGCAAAGAAAAAATTAGGAAAACAAACTTAAGATAATACAACAGATAATTACAACTAAACATGTTTAAAACACTGAAAAGAGTTAATACAAGTACTGAACATCACTAGAGACTGAATAATGCCTGCTTACATAATAATTTCACCAAACTGGATCAAGTGTCCTTGTAGTATGGCATTTTCCTGTATTAGATTACAGCATATTGTTGATGAACAGTCATCAAATTTATAGATTTGGCACTCCAACTGACTCAACTCAAAGTACGCTTGTTATGTGTTCATTGAGCTACAAAGAACACCCTCATTATGGTTTTTACATAACAAATACATAGTAGTAATACAAGTAGTAAATGTCAAATGAATATATAAATAATCTCTATAAACATATATTATGAATGCAGAATCTGTAGGTATGTCTCAAAACCTGTGTTTTACTCATCTTTGTTTTCAGGAGATAAACTGAAGTTGCGATATGACAAATACATGAGATGAAATTTTTTGTCTTTAATGTATAGTGACAGCAAAGGGCCACGGGTTGGATTCAAACCCTGAGCCACTGCAGCAAGGACTCTGGTACTCTGGTACATGTGGCGCCAGCTAAACCAGGTGAGCTATCCAGTTTTGGAAGATTTCTTGGAATCCTTTAAACCCTGACTTTCCAAGTGCGTTAGCAAACAAGTTGCCTACAGCAGACAAAGAGCAACTTTACCTATACCTGGAGTCGTGTTTCCGGCCACCTGACAAAAGTCCAAAGTTATTTACCTTCCACATGTTCCACTTTCTTCATGAGCTAGTTGCTAACTGTGTCTGTCTGCTGTTTAGTGCTGGTAAGGGAGCTTTTATAAGTTTTGCCTTTTGCGGCTCAAAATGAGGTTGATGAAAGTCAAGTCATGGGCTCAAAAACCAAAACAATGAGCTAAAAGAGACCAAAAACACTGCAGAGTTGGCTCTGTGTCCATCACTGCGAGGGACCTCTTTAAAGCCACACATTAAATATTTATTCCTGCAGCTTTAAAATAAATGTTTAAAATGATTCTACCTAGATATCACAAAACAAGTGGGTGGTGGATTTTTCGGAGAGAGTGCTAACTCATCACTATGTTGTATTTTGCTCCAGCATTTCAGGTTCCCACTTCCTGTGCATTAACTGTGTTTTCCAGCATTAATTAAAGCCTGACACCTGAAACCACCTTCCCAGTTGAAGCCCCATTTTCTGATTTATTCTGATAGGATGGGTGTATTTTTACCATAAAAACCTTGCCTAGTGCAGCTATAATTTGATGGCTTAAAATAAAACCTTGGATCAGTCCTTTGAAGCCTTTTCCTGTGTCCACTTTGGCAAAGCTGTGGCTGTAAATAATGTAGTTTTGCGGCAGAAGAGCTCAACGCGTCCCCATTTACTGGCCGAACATTCGATAAAAGGCAGTTTTCTCAGGCTAAAAGCGCTGGATCTCACTTCATCTGTCTTTCTTTTCCAATCTCTTGCTGTCTTTCCTTCTCTCTCTGATTGTTTTCCTCCCAGTGCTCATGTCATCGCTCATTCTGCCTGCTCCTCTATCACTCTTTAATCGTTCTCCACCTCAATCTCTTTTCTTTTATCTCTCCATCTTTCTCCTATTTTTGGTCCCAGATGCATCAATTATTCATGTCTTTGCATGGACTTTCTGACTGGAGAGCTATCAACAAGAGCTATCAGGGTCATCATATTACACCTGAGCATCCACCTGTGACACATATAGTCCCATAAGAGGATGCAGGCACATGCACAGACAAACACAAATGGGAAATCGTGCACAGATTCCCCTGCCTACAGGGGAACTTAAGGAACAGAAGTCACGTTTTTCAACGCATGGCTGCAGGTGAAAAACACAAGAGATCCAACAGTCATTTTGAATTTATTACGCAGTGGAAATAAGAATCATCTTTCATTTGTGAAGTCTGGACAGTCAGTGTGCTTATTCTCAAGCTTTGATATACTTAATTTTGAACAAGCAAAGGTCTCAAACACATGACCCTGGTGTGATTTGAACACACAACCTTCTGATCTGGAGTCAGACGCGCTACCATTGCGCCACAGGGCCTCATGCTGTGGTTACCAGTACATTGTCTCATACTGTTAGAGTATGATAATGCTGACATACTGCAAGAAAACATTTGCGTGACCTGGGATTTGTGTGTATGAGAGCTCAGTTGTTAGAGAAATAAGGGCAAATGAGCATTGTGGTGTAGTTTGACCTGAGCCAATATTTGTTAGCTTTGCAGAGCAAATGCCACAAATGGCTACCTTGTGAGTTGAGCTTGTACTACAAATGTCTTGGTGTCGAAAACTGTGCATCCAGCTGCAGTGAGTCCTCTAAGTGGATGCTAGGCTCACTTTCCAGCTGGCAATAAGCAAAGAAAAATTTGTGGCTGCAATAGTATGCTATGATAGAAATGTGTGATGTTAGTTATTTTAAACAGATTATTTTATGCAAAGAAACACAATATGAACACTGGTTGGTCCCATACTGCAGTGTTACATGCATGTGAATAATGTCAAAAACTCTTTTTGATATAATTGTGGGGTCTTTGTTGGTTTAAGAGCCAGAAGTGAACTCTTGAATAATACAGGGGTTTGTGTGTTTCAGGGTATGCAACAGCCACAGGGTACTGAGCCCATCTGTAATGGAGAGCTGACCTAAATTGTATATTTTCTAACCCTGATATGTCCAACTGTGTCTGAGCCTGCAAATGTCAAGGGTAGTATCCAATAGTTGCTACCAGTAGGTTCCCCTCCATTTAGAGTCCTCTTTAAGTTAAACTTTTATTCCTCTGCATGAATTTTAATTATATAATTCAAAATTAACTGTGTTTACATTCTTTCATTTATTCACTGCAGAAATTGCTTAAATGGGTGTTACTGAAAAGGAGACAATCACTGACCCTTTCTTCAACTAAGTTGGTCTTCATCACCTAAACTGACTGAGCAAGACGGTTTGTTACTATTGACAGTATACATAATGGCCAAAGCTTCCTGGTCTGTGAAGTGAAGCCAATGCGGAAGTGTCTTAAACTTGCATTTTATGTAATGGCGGGCAGGTAAGGCACTTTCAAAGAAATACTCAGCAGCTGATTGGATGAACCATCTGTGTACCATGTCCATCACAGGCAGACTTCAACCAATCAGCTCAACAAACCATATAACATAGTGAAACTCTTACGGAGGCCAGTCGGGAGAACAGCAAAAACATCTTTTCCATCGAGAAAAGCCTTCAGTGGCGTTCTTTGCTCTTCTTTCAGTGAAGAAACACAACTGATGCTAGCAGCATCCACACTAACCTCTTAAGCAACCGCCTTTGTTGTCTCTGACATAGCTCAGAGCTACGGTGGCTATGAATAAACAGTGCGTTGCTATGCCGTAACCTTATAAAACAGGACTATAAATTCTGCTTTAGTTTTCTGTCAGTCGTACTCTCTTTTCAAACCACAGTGCTTACCTCAAATGAGAGATGTCGACCGTCGTGTGTTGAACTAATTTTGTGATGTTTCGTCACCTGAGTGTATCATTCTATCTGCTGCTCCGTGGACAGCACTTCCTCCACTACAGTACGTTGCACTTATGGTTGGAGCTGCTTGTGTCTTACGGACTCTCTCTCAACATTGGATGACAACGTTATTCTGTCTGTTCTGATTCTCTCCGGCCTGTCTGACATGGCATTCTGCTGAATACTCAGTTTGGGCGGCTTCCAAAGCCTCTCCTAGCCTGGTGCCTAGACTGGGGGTCAAAAGCTAACCCGCAGCTTGTGATTTATTGGGCCGATCCAGTAGCCCATATTGATCAATGTGAAAGGTTTTCCAGTAAAAGTCCAAGTGACACCTTCAACTCTCTGCAAAGTCAATACACTGAAACTGCAGAGGGAGAGGGGCAGAGAGGGAAAGAGCAGCAACCAGGAATATCAGGACTTAAGGCTGCATGAGTTACAGCTCAGCACAGCTCAGCGAATGAGTTACTGTTATGCAAGAGCTCAGTCAGCCCAGCTGGAGATCAGAGAGAGAGAGAGAGAGAGAGAGAGAGAGAGAGAGAGAGAGAGAGCAGTGGACCGAGTGAGGAGTGAGAGCACGAGCGAACAAGCTGAGGGACAGAGAGGAGAGGGCTGGAGAGAAAACAACAGCAAGTGAGCAGAGAGCAGAGCCGATTACAGCTGGATCTATCATTCACACACACACACACACACACACACACACACACACACACACACACACGATCATACATACTCCCTCACTTCCTCTCTGTGTCTGTCATACCTTCTTGCAGCACGGCAGCATCATGAGTGGCAACACAGAGGGGGTTTTCCTCTCTCCGCCAAGGGAGTGAGGACAGAAGAAGAGGACAGACAAGAAGGAAGAAGTAAGAGAAGAGCAGGGAAGGGGATAGGAGAGGAGAGAAAAGCAGTGGAGGAAGACAGAAAAGTAGGACAGGGAAGCAACAAACTTTCCTCTAAAGGATCTTTCCACCTCATACTGAGACTTTGTTTGAGCCAAAGTGCCCGACCACGAGGCTGTGAATCCCTGCTTCCTTTTTTCCTCTCCCAGAGCTCCTTTTCTTCTTTAGCTGACCCCATGTCTCCGAAAGTGGGACCCACCGTCCAGAGCACAGGCACCCACCTCTGGGTGCTGCTGTGTCCCTTGCTCTGTGCGCTGGCCCTGGCTAGAGGCTCCACGCTGAGCCCTGAGGACTTGCAGAGCACTGCAGCCATGTCACTGCCAGAGGACGGGACAGGTACAACGTTCCAGCTGCAGCCAGACCTGCAGACTGAAGCCCAGATGGAAGCACAGACGGAAGCTCAGACAGAAGTACAGACAGAGGCTCTGACAGACCCGCCAACTCAGAGCATCACCAGCAACTATACAGGTTAGTCTGTCTGTTGATTGATTAGATTGATCAGTGTGAGGTTTAATGATGATTTTTACTTTGTGCCAAAAGTTTCTGCTGCATGCTTGAAGAGCAAAAGTTGAATCCAGTGAAGCCGAGTTTGGACCAAACTTTTCCTTGGAAGCACGTCATGCCAAATTGTTTGGTAGATGCACTTACGGAATACTCTGGATGATTATTATGTGATGAGAGCTGAGATGATAAGCCGATTAAGTCCTTTTTAAGCAAAAATGGCAAAAATGAATTAGTCTCAGCTTCTCAAATGTGAGTATTTAAGCGGGTTTTGTAATCTTCTGTAATAGTTATGTGAATGTCTTTGGGTTTTGGACTGTGGAAAAGAAAGATTTTCAAATATGTCAATGGGCTAGGGGAATTGTGGCTAGACCTCTCTACAGTTTGATTGCCAATACCAGCAATGTTGACCCTCTAACATCACACTAGTTACAATATAAGTCTTGTTATTTGACTCCCCATTGGCATCAACACTCCAAGCAACAACGTAGACTAACAGAAATTATATGAGTAATTGCAAAAAGTCCTTAAAAAAGTTGTTCAAATTGTACCTGTTGTGCCAAAACTTGTTTCTCCTTACCTTAACCTAAGCCTGACCTTAGCCCAAGTTTCCTCTGTGATACTTAACTAAGCTAAACTTTCCCATGAATCAAACAGTAACCACGGAAAGGAGCGCTATAACGTACTGTACACTGTAACAAAAAAATAAGCTTCTAAGACGTCTGCGTCTGACCAATATCACATTTTATCCAATAACAAGTCTTTAAAAGCTTTCAGAAGGCTTTGAATTCCAGCGTTGAAGCTGGTTTGCAGTTTTTTCCTTGAGCACCCCTATGAGAGGAGACTTAATTGCTCCCAAAACCTCCACTCTGTCTTTTTATCCACACACCATGAAACAGTATTCACAAAACTACAAAAGACTTGATTTCCCCCATGAAACTTATCAAGAAAGCAACAAAATTGGCCTGTAAGACACTTGGAGTATTCATGCACATAATAGTAAAGTGTGTGTGTGTGTGTGTGTGTGTGTGTGTGTGTGTGTGTGTGTGTGCATTTGCATGCAAGCTTGCTTTTTGATATGTGTGTGCATGTTTGTCAGTGTGAGTGTATGCATGTGTGTGTGAATGTGGGGTATTTGGAAAGTGGGGACATTTAGTCAATTCTTCACCAGGGGTTACTGTAAGTAATGCATTAATATGTCAATATAGTGGCATTATATCAAGGGTCTATAAAAGTACAGGAGCACAAACCTGAGTCGTTCTACATGTGTTTATTCACGTCTGACTGTTTTGGTGTGTGCTTTTGTGTGAGTGCATAAAAACAAATGTGCACCTTTAGTGGCGGCAGGTGATGCAGTTAAAGACAGTTCGTTATGTCCAGGCTGGGTGCTGCTCAGCCTGAAGAGAAAGCTGCAGCACTCGCATGACTTCACCTCCACTGGAGCATGAGCTGCCTTTCTCTTCTCCTCCTCTCCCTCTATCCATTTCTCTTTTCTTTCCCTTTCTCCTCACCGCTGTTTATTTTCTCCAACCTCTGTCTCATCTGTCTCTGTTTTTCTACTAATTACTTTTTCTCCCATTGCCGCTTTGTTTCCCACTCCTTACTTTTCTATTTTTTCTACTCTCTGAGTGTCTGTCACTTCTTCTTTCATCTTTTATTTCCTTCCACTGTCTCACTCTCTCTTTCGTTTCCCACCATTTATTCTTATGTCCCTCGCCCGGCCCTTCTCACACACGTGTATGCATAAATACCCTACAGCAAATGACAAAATGCAAACCTCACGTGCCTACTACACTCATAATACACAGACATACACACACACACACACACACACACACACACACATACATTGGAAATGGCCTCACTCGGCCCAAACGACACCAATCTTCTTAAAGGTTTAGAGAATAAACAACACAGTTGCTCGTTCATAACGACAGCTGTGTTTCTGACGGAGCAGGAATAAGCACTTTATACTTTAATAACACACGCACACACACGTACACACAGGTGATCAGCTGGCTTTCCACATTGCGCCACATGCATGAATTACGCCACACTAGAGCGTCTATGTGAGAGAGCTTCCAAAAATTCTAAATCCTGGAAGTGTGATTAATATCAGTGTTCCCAAAACCAAAGTGTGTGTGTGTATGACAGTATAAACTACTTATTTTGGCTACCATTAACAGATAAAAGCTCCACATTTTGTTTATTTTTTTTCCGCCACATTTTAAGCCTATTTGACTTTTTCCTTCAGGTCTGGATTACAGCGGCAATACTGTGCTTATGTTTGGACATTTTAGCCGTTTTACTTTGGGCTTCTCGAGTATAAAACCAGTCCCACTTGTCATTTATGGGACAAAAAATGAATCCAGTTAAATATAGAAGACTTTTGTACGTGTTGAGCATTTAGACACAGAAGATTTATAAAGCTGCCAAATCAAAAGCATTAAATGAAGACAAAGCTGGAGAAGTTTATGTTCTAGCAGTGGTTCTTTTCAAAAAGGCCTATCAGATGAATTCATCAGTATCACCTGTCATATTCCAAATGTGCTAATTTGAACTGATCATGGGAATCACTGTGTTATAGTAATATACTTTCAAGCATGCAGGCTATGTACATGTTAAATACAGCACTGATTGTTTAAAACCTTAAAAAGACTACATTTGTCTCTCTGTGCTAATCCCTGAATATGTTTTCTGTATTAATTCATAGAAATTAACTAAGCTTGTTCATATCTCAGGGAGGTCAGAGGTCAACAAGAACTGGTAGAGATTCAGTGTCGGTTGGGCAGGCACAGTCTGAAAGTCTCCTCCATCTCCACACCTGCTTGCTGAATCCACTCCTTTAAAATCGATGGAGCACTTGTGTGAAGGTTTAGCTCACAGAGCCTTGGAGCGCTGGATCAAACCAGAGCTTTCAGAGTCCGTCAATACAAGCCGTGACTCATTATGCAGCTCGTTCAGGAATCCTCACTGCCGGCCGTTCCTGGAAGTAAATTGATCAGTCCATTGAGTTTTGCTATTGATTAACTCGTCCTCATCTGCTCCTCCTTTTACATTAGACTGCATTAACACACTTGTAACCTGTGTTTTAGTAGCTTCGGTTTCCTTTATGCCCATGTAATATATATAATAATAATATAATATAATATAATATTTTGATCTCATTTTGATGTTTGCTCCATCTACTTCTTTCTCCAGAATGACTGACCCCACATTTAAGTCAGACTGAGTCGATGTTAAAGGGGCTTTTCCACCGTTGCGTGGTAACTCACCGTTTCTAGCCATTTCGGTGAGGCAAAGGCGGCAGAGAGAAAGCAGTTTCGATCACGCCGGTAGAGGTATGAACACAGATTTTGCTCTGTTGCCAAAAGTTCACCGTGCTGAACTTCTGGTGGTAACCGCCTGGCTTTGGTCAGTCAATTATATTTATCTATCTATATGCTTTCAATTGGCCAAATCGTCCAACGTCATAATGTTTCTTTTCATTGTTACGCAGACGACACACAAATATACCTTCCCCTGAGACCCAAGAAGCCTAGCTGCTGTTCTAGATTGTCTAAGAGATATTTAATGTTGGATGGCACAAAAATTGCTTCAACTCAACAATTCTAAATCAGAAATCATATTGTTCAGTCCCCCAAACCAGATCAGTCCCATTCAGAGTGGCATTGGTCCCTTCTCTGTTAATGTGAATCACGCTGTCAGAAACTTGTGATATTCTGATCTCGACTTTAAACCATATAGCAAAAAAGTTGTCCAGTCCTGTTCCCCTCATTTAAGAATTGTTTCTAAAATCAAAACAATCCTCTCTCACCTTGACCTGGAAAAAGTCATCCATGCACAAATTTTTCCAGATTAGACTACTGTAACTCCCTCCGCTCTGGCATAAACCAAAGGTCACTCTCTTGCTACCAACTAGTTCAGAAGGCAGCAGCTCAGCTTCTTACTGGTTTTAACAGACAACATCACATCACCCCATTCCTGGTGTCTCTCCATTGGCTTCCTGTTCATGTTAGAAGATTTTACTGATGACACAAATCTGGTTCTGGCAGAAATGTTGACCCCCTGTGAGCCAGTTTGCAGCTTTAGGTCCTCAGGTGTGGCCCTTCTGGCTGTTCCAAAATTAAATTGTGCATTTGCCATCAGGAACCCTTGGCTTTGGAACGACCTGCCTGAGGAGACTTCTTTCAAATCACTTCTTAAAACCAGTTTCCATAGACTTGCCTTTGTGTGATATTGTGTTTTTAGTATCTATTTTATTTATTTTTTTAATTGTCATTTTATTTTCATGGCTTCTATTCTGCTCTTATTATTGTTTTTGGTATTCTTTGGTATTTAATTACATTTTGTTTATTACAAAGATTGTTGCTCTGTCTGTCTAAGAACATTGTAAACTCTGTTTTTAAAAAGTGCTATATAAATAAAGTTATTGTTATTATTAATAATACTGGACCATAGTGGCACAGTGGCTTTTAAAACTGCTTCACTCTTTTGGGGAACGCCCTTGCAGGTAGGCAGTTGTCAGTCAGTGTGGTTTTCGTACGGTGGTGTGAAAAGGCCTTAAGAAGAGTGAGAAGCTGCAGCAGGGCAGTCGGTGTCCAGGTTGACCTCCCTATGGGGATTAGGCAGGCTGATGATGAGCAGCGGTTATTTCAGCCTTAGAAAAGCCGTAAGCCTTAACATTAACACGGTAACACAACCTATTAACCTCAACAGAGTATGTGAGAGTTAATGTTAGTGGTAATCCGTAAATGAGGCATATATCAGTTACTTAGCAGGTAGTCTGCATCTTAATCTGGCCAAGCAGGAGTTTACAGTGACTCCTTACTGTCTCTGGAAGTATTTTTTCTGTAATAAGATTTTGTCTCTAACTTTTCTGCCCAAAAACGCTTATTATAAAGACTTTATGCATAGTTTTTTGAGAATGTCCCTTAGTGTCTGAAGGAATGAGCCCCCCATCTACT